TATTTATTATATTCACAGTATATTAAAAGCATCTCATGTGCATTAGATTAATGCTCCTGGGGCTAGAGGTGGGCATTTCGGCCCTATAATGCACATCAAACCCCCTTTAAGAGGAACTGGAGTGTCTGTGTGCAGCTCAATGGCGGTGAGAAAGACTACTGTGTGATGCAGCTCTGTGTTTATAACTCATATTTGATTGTAATTCAAATTCCTCTTTTCTTTGTAAATTATATTTAGTTGGGCTGAGTTGTTTTGAAAAATTGTCTTGAAAGTGGATGAAAAAACAGATTGTGGTCATACGTGCGCAGCTGTTGGGTTCCTCTACAAAAGCATTTTATGCCAAAAGACAGGACTTCCTACCCAAAGTTTCAGCCCATGGAGGCATTGCGTATGTTCATAGATTTTAAGCCCTGAGCAGAATAAGGGTAAATGTTTTAAAACTTTCCAAGTGTTTTAGAAAGCTAAATCTCCCCTCTACCCCCCAAAACCCCCTGATTTATACTCCCAGATTATCACCATCTAAGCAGGCCCCTGGATTTTGTCCAAGTGCTGCATCTCCTGCAGTCCCAGCCCTATGCTGGGTTTCAAACTGAAGCAGTGACTCACTTGGGCAGATTCATCTCCCTTCATTTGAGCTGACTGAAAGCAAGGCATCTCGTTGGAGCAAGCTGCCCTGTCTCCCTCCTTTCCCAGCGGAGACAGAGGCATCTCCCAAAGGTGACTTGACCTGCCTGTTCTGGGAGCAAGACCTATATGCTCCAACATCTTATCTGAAGAAACCCTTACAAAAAAGCATGTGTGTGTACAGCATCCAGCACAATGGACTGATTGGGACCTTCGTCCCTCAGGGAATAAAAATAGCAAGGATTATTAAAGCTGTGTATTTTCACAGATTGCAATCAGGGCTCACAACACATGCACACTTAATTTCCTGCTTTCAGTTCACTATCAGATTTTATGCTTAGGTTAGTGGGGTTTGTTAACATTTCTTTTCCCCAGAATAGGATTTTTTTTTCCTTTAACTACAATACATTCAGCCATGAAAAATGAGTTTGAAAAAGATTAATAGGAAGCTGAAAGATTCATCTGAGATTGACAAAGATTAATGTGTGTCTTATTCTTATGTGTTTTCTTTTTCTTTTCCCTTCTTCTCTTAGCTACCTAGACAGCTTAGATCGAATTGGAGCTGCAGACTACCAGCCCACGGAGCAGGATATCCTCCGAACCAGGGTCAAAACAACGGGCATTGTAGAAACCCACTTCACATTCAAAAACCTCCACTTCAGGTTAGTCTAAAACTGCACAGTAAATTTTCAGGGCGTCTATTTGTCACAGTGTTTCCCCATAGTTCCCAAAGGAGAAATTGTTAAACTGCTGTTAACACAGGGATGACTCCCACTGCAGAGGACACAGCATTCTAGGGGGTCAACAATATGCAATGTTTGGCAATCTTTTCTTGAAAAATCACTGCCTTTAAGATAGGAGCTCATGGTACCTTCTTCTAACCCAAACGACACTGCTTTGGTAGGAGGTATAATATGAGATTGGCCCCAAGTCTGATCAACCTCATAAATGTAAAAATATTTGGCCAAATCTTTTCTCTAAAGTGGGTCAGTGACATGCGGGTAACACTATATATTGACCCTCATGATGCCAGCCAGTAGAGAGAAGAGGGTGTGAAGACGGAAAGCCACGCAGAGAAGTATTTAGAGCATATAAAACTCAAGAGTGCGTGGTCTCCACCTCCGCAAACCCTTTGGGACCCAGCATACTGCTGAGGCTCTCCCACAGATCCCCAAATCCCTAGCTGTAATGGCTCCTCCTGATCCTCCTTGGCTCCAGGCTCTGGAGAAGACCAAGCTAGGGGTGAAAGACCTGCTGCTTTGTGTTTGGAGCCTTCCAGGGACCATATGGTCAGAAAATGCCAAGAATGCTAAAGTTTCCTCATAACTAAGAAAGAGCAGGATCTGATGGTCCTCTCCCATGCTGCAGGCTCTTCGATGTTGGGGGCCAGCGGTCAGAACGCAAGAAGTGGATTCACTGCTTTGAGGATGTCACAGCGATCATTTTCTGCGTCGCGCTGAGTGGCTACGACCAGGTGCTCCATGAAGATGAAACCACGGTGAGTCTAACCGGGTCTTGGAGGCCCCAACACTTCTTTATGGGATACTGCATAGCCAGCAACTAACTGCTCAGAGCTCACCGAATGCTCACTGGGGTGCTACAGTTAATGTGCTTTTGTCAGTCATTCCCCCTTGACTCTGAAATCCTGGGGAGAGTTGTCCACCACACTCTTCAAAATCAAGTCCTGCACACCCAGGTAACACTGCCTTGCACCAGTAAAGTCACAGTGTTTTATTTGTCCTTTCTAGCTGACCTGTGTGTTTTCAAAACGTGTTAACAGGACCCTATATTCAGAAAGAGGAGATATAGCTAGGTGGGCTTTTAAAACAAACGTAAGGAAGTGGTCATGCCGTGGTGCAGAGGTGCAGGGTGGCCGTGCACACCCAAGGCAGGCTCGGGCTAGGAGTATGACTTATTTCTTCAGGCTACAGAAATTCATTTTCCTGAGTGAGAGTGGAACTGTTTGATTCCTCAGGTAATTTGCTCTAGGAGAGCTTTTATGACTTCCAACTGTGACATTAGGCTCAAAATACCATCTGGAAATAAAGCTAGTGAGGAGCTGTGTGCTCCCTAGTATTAGAGTGCAATTAATACAAGTGAATTAAATACACAGAAAGGATGCAGGAAGACTCATTACTGTCTTCTGGCCATTCATTCAGTGTGCTGGGGACACAGGCTTTCGGGACTAACAACAACTGCAGCAAGCACCCAGTTGCATTTGTCTAATGAAAAGGAATCAGAAGCTGTACTTAGACTTTGGTAATGATTTCATCTGTGCCCAGTCTGCGGCGGCATGGAGGGCTCACTCCTGCCAGCTCTGTCTCTCTGAGGGTCTTTATTCTCCCGCTGGTACAGATGTCAGGCTTGCAGAAAGCTGTTGACGAGGAAGGAATTGAGGGAAAGATTGTTGTTAGGTATCAGTTATCTCTTCCCAAAAAGGGTGGGGCTGTGGTTTCTAGCCTCTTCCGAGCCAGGTTCATGAGCTCTGGCAAACTGTTTGATGAAGTCACCTGGTTGTCTGGGTTGTATTGATGCCAGAATTCAGGGTGGTAGTAACATCATGACTATGTCCCTCCAGACTGACTGAGACACCCTACACCCTCTCATGTCCGCTTATTTATAATCCTCAGTTGTCACCTCGCTCTGACCCTGGCCCTGGTATACTGAAGGATGCTCAGTCCTGTAGGATTTACTGGGAAGGAACCAAAATCTCCTGACGTGATTTGAAAAACCCAGCCATAGAGCTCTGCAACTGGTCAGGGGAAACACACCCAGGAGATAAAGAAGAATACATGGGGAGAGGGCAGACCCAGGAGGCAGGGAGCGAAGCTGTGATCTGAGCAGAGAGCAAGGTGCTCTGTAGGTACACTTTGGGCTGTGACACCCAAACTGCGAAGCCAAAGGCAGCCTTTAACACAGGTCATCTTTGGGTGCCAGTCTACACAAGCCAGAGCCTCTGATTCAAAGCCACAGAGCACAAAATGGAAGGGCTTGAATGCCAATGCCATTTTTTAAATGTCAGCCTTAACTCAGCTCCTCTGAGATGGAGGTTACAGCATCTCTCCTGGGGATGCTGAGCTCTGCCAGTGACTGTCCATCACCCAGTACTGTGCCAGTGACGAGCAGGGTGCCAGCTCAGCCTCCCCCCGAAGTGCCCCGCTGCAGAAACCGGGATTTGAGCAGCTCCAACTTTGCTCTTGCGTCCAGAAAGCAGGCAAGCCTGCGCTCTGGTGCAGTGCTGACATTTGCTTGCTATTTCAATCCCTTTTCACAAAGCGTTTCTGGGGATGCTGAGCAACAGGAGGGCAGAGGCAGCTGCTGTTCATTTACACATTCGGCGTAAACGGGGAAAGAATTCGGCATTGTCACAGCCGTGCCTGCAGGACACCCCCACCTAACCCAAATAAACAACCCTGAGCGAGGTCAATGCAAATAGGAAAAAATGACAGTGTCGGATCCTGTCTGCCCCTATTATACCCCCAGCACAAATGGCAGGTGGAAAACACGGTGCCCACAGACTCAGTCCTCTCCCAGCTGAACCCTCAAGCACTCGGTCTCCTCCCTGCTAACGTGGTTCCTCTCCAAAAACTCAGCATAAAAGCAGCATCTCTTCAGTCAGCTGATTTGCTGTCTGTCTGCATCCGTCACATCTGCTGGCTTTAATGACGTAAATCAGCTTTTATTGCTTCTCACTTGGAAAACACAAAGAGGACGCAGCTGAGAGAGTGAGCTGGATGCTGCTCCTCCATCTTCATTTTCTATAGACATGCTTACTACAGTCCAGGCACTTCCAGCTGTATTAACCCACTGAAGGTTTGGGGGCTGTACGGATGACTCTGTGAATATGAAAAGACTTGTAGAGCTTTCATTGCTGGCATGGAGCCACGAGAGGGAAAGAGCCACGAGAGTGAAAGAGCCCTACCACATCTCAGGTGCCCAAAAAACGATTTGCAAAGGTGGTGCATAGGGACAACAGCTTTTCCCTGTGCACTCAGCACCCTGTTGACAACAATCACAGGTTTCACAGGGGCTTTTTGCACTTCTTTAAGTCAAACCTCACTTCAGGCTGGTGAAACTGCAGTTCAGATAAAGTCAGCATAACACGGAGCAGGGGCTCATCTTGTTAAGATCAGTTAGTGTGGGGCATTGCGATCAGTGTAGTTGTAGAGTCAGCTTGTCTCACTGAAAGAAGCTCATGAACAACAGGTTTACTGTGAATGCTTTCAAACAAGACTGAGCACAGAGGTGGTTAAACAAGGCTGGGTGAAGCACCCACTGACCTGTCCCTGCCCTTAAAAGTAAAGCGCAGCTCTATGCTTATGAAGGGGTTTTTTTGTGGTGTATTGCACGCTTTGTTTTAAAAGACTGAGCATCCATCCTCCTGCAGCAGCTGAAAAAAGGCTATTGTGTGCAAAGCCATCACTACCTAAGACCAGACAGTCTTTTATAAGGGACGTATTTTCTCTCCGAATCCCTACCACAAAGAGCAACACTACAGGAGTCAAGGAAGGCAAGTACTTCTCTATGTCTGGGTCAGAAAGACATAAATAAAATAAGAAAACTTTCTGCATCTGTGATTTCTAGGCCCATACACCCATAAAGACCATGCTTTGCATAGAAACCCCCAGTGCTGTTGAATCCGGCCTCTCCCATTGCCCCAAACACCTTCTTATGCCACTGTTGTCAGATCTAAACTGCTTCCCTGCGTGCCCGGCTCCCAGGGGAGAGGAGCAAACCTACAGGGAAATTCAAGCAGTGCCTTCACCAGTCCCGTTGCTGCCAGCCACAGCCCACACCTAGAGCTCACAAGGCAAAATTACACCCTCTGCCCAGCCCATCCAAGTCACAAGACGCTGTCTTCAAGGTATTACACCTGCCTCTGCATCTGCTTTTACCAAGTCCATCACAAGGAGTTGCAGGGCTCTCTGCTGTATTTGTACACAGTGGAAACATCCTGCTTTAGCTGACTGAACAACTCTGTGGATTATGTCTTTGCATAATGAGGCTATTTTGTCTCATTTGTGACTTATCTTTATGTTTCATAAGCTGAGGTTACAGGAGGAAAAGCCTCAGATCTGTAATCTGGGAGGAGAGTAATATTAATCAGTAAAACTGGAGAAGGTGATTAACAAAGGTAGATTTGCTTCAAAGGTAGATTAGAAGTTGTTCCTTCTAAATGGAATTCCAAATGGAATTTTAAAAAACACAGCAATGGCATGGGACCTGTTGTGGGAACCGAGACTATCCTCTTTGGGTTTTTGCTCACATATTTAAAGGAATCATGGCAAGAGAGGGAGATGTTCATGCTGCACGTTGCTGCCTGAAACTAAGATATTTAGGTCATCCATATATAGCCAAGACATGCAAGTATTGTTCGTGTCCCCATTGCTGAGCATGGGGTGGGTTGAAGGCGCTGTGCTAGTGACCCTTGTTGTGCCTTAGTGTTGGCCTCTTGGTTCGTATTTCATTGCATGACTTGGTTAGCAAGGTCTCTGCTGTCATTGGGCAAGGAAAATTGAACTGCAGCGCTCAGAAATTGCTTTAGGAGTGACAAAGCAAGTGGAAGTGGCTTGCTTGGGCATCTTAGGAAATATAAGCAGGAGGGGGGAATATGGAGTTTCTGTGCTTAGGATAACCATTAGTGTCCTTGTGTCCTTATAGTTTGCATGACAGCACTTAATCACCAAGGAAAACAAAAAAGATTGACTTGACTGTGTGTTGCAGAAATAACCAGGTCTCCTCCCATACTCTGGTGAAAAAAAGGCAGGGTTTATGGGTGTGTTCCTGCCTGGGCAGAGTCTTGACTGCAGCATCCTTTCTCCCTCACACTCAGTAGAAAGCTGCTTGCCCTTCGCATCAGTGATGGGAACACTGTTGTGCAATGACATCTGAACTCAGCTATAAGCAATTCTGTCTCTTGTCTTGCACAGGAAAAGGTAACTGGACTTCTAATTTGTATGGGCAAGTGGTTATTCCTCTGTAACATGGCTGATGGGGCTGCTTTCTTTGTCGGGGTGTAAAGCATTTGCAGGCATAAGGATTTAAAATACTGATTTTGAAATAGGAAGTGACATTAAGAAGCCAATGTTTCAAGAGCCCTCCCTTAATGACAGACCCGACATAAAGTAGGAAAAAGCAGCACAATGGGTCCAAAAGCAGGTAAAGTAATTTATATCACTTCACATAAAAGTATGAGAAGTGTGATCTTTAATGCCTCCTAGCAGATTGGGCACGTCTGCCCCATCATAGCAGCATGGGTGCTCCTGAGGGGGGCCCTGGGGGAGCTTTAAGGGACCAAAAGGGTCTTTCACTGTGGATTTACTGTTAAGAGGGGGATTATTTGGGGGCCTTAACTTCTCACTCCTCCTTTAGCAGCAGCCTGTCCTTTTACATGTGGTACCCGGAGACTGCCTCCCCATCCTCACATCGCAGCCAAGGCCTTCCTGAGCTGTTGGAGGTCTCCTACAAACATCTGTTAAACTAATAACAGTTGGGGAGGGAAAGGAAAGGGAGGCAGCGAGGCATGCCTGATGTTAGCAGGCACTGGGACAGCTTGCGTCCACGCATAGGCTCCCAGGAGCCCTTCTGGGATACGACAGCACTTCCCACGTGGTAACAAGGTACGGCAACAGGAGCATCCGTACCTGCTCACTGGGATATTGCTCTGCACCTTTTCCACGCGTCGAAAGCAGTTCCTTGCTTTTGAGTAACGTCGTCTGCTCTTTAGTGATGGGGAAGTAAAAGGTGGATTTTAAGACAAGAACCTTTCCTGGGTAAATAAGGAGGAGTGGGCAGAGCGGTGGTTATATTTACTCAGCTAACCAGCAAAGCTGGGGGAAAAAGCAATATGTAGAGACCATAAAGCCGGGTCAGGCAGCCTTAGGAAGCATTGAAACTTGTTTCTGGAATTTGAAAGGAATAGAGGATTTTTACTGTAACTCTCATTTTCTACAGGGATGTATTGGTTTGTGCTATGGGTATATTCTGATTACTACTGGATGCTAAGAGTCACTGTTTCTTGGGAAAACACTCTCATTTCCTAACAGGTATTAACGCAAATTAATCAAACCATGTAAGCGAAGCAGGATTTCTGTAGGATGCTCATGTAGTCTTGCTACTGTAGGAAAGTCAGCTTCACCTAACTGCAAAGCCCAGCTCAGGAGAAGTCCTCAGCTTGTATTTTGTAACCAAAACCAACGTCACCCATCACGCCTCCCACGCCATGAGGTGCAGTTGCACACCTCCGCTCCCCGCTGGGGCTGCGCAGCGTGGTACAGGGCTGGCGAGGTGCAGCGTGGTAAGTATGGTGACCTCCAGGCTGATGGCTGCTGCAGATGAGGTATTGGTTTAACCCACGAGCAGTGGTCATGTGTTTCTCCGTGCTTTTATTTTAAATCAGCAAGGGTGATAAAAATGTCATTAAAAATGTTCTGTGAGGGACCCTGCTTAAAAAACAATTAATTATATTTGCTTTCTGTTCCCCTGACCGCCCTCCGCTTTCTCCTCTCCTCCCAAAGGCTTTGGGTAGCCAAGGATCTCCTGTACAAAACCTTTGCAGGTTTCTACATGGTTACGATTTTGACGCAAGTGGCAAAGAGGAGTTTTGCTCTGGGGCTCCCACACCAGCCAGTATAAACTGGGTTAGCAAAAAAACAGCACACAGACATGGGATGATTCAAATAAGCAAATGTCTTACAACTGAGACCCAATAAGTAAATGCATTTTTACATTTGTACATGATTGCGTCTTCCCCGTGTGTCGGTACAATGCATGGTGGGGAGATGCTCGGTCATTTCAAGTCTGGTAGCAAAGCCTGTGGTATACGGTACAGCAAATCGCGCGCGTCCTGTTTCGCTCTGGGTTGGATCGGATGTTTCCTTTATCCAAAGAGCCACTTTTATCTAAATAAAACGTTCAGCAGCAGCTAAAGTGTATCAATGAAAAGGAAAGCGTTAATCAATAAAGTGCTGGGCTCAATTATGCTGCCAACGCGGGTGTGAAACGGAGCGGGAGAGGGGTGAAAGCCCCCCAGCTGTCTCCTGCACCACTCCGAATTACCAAATCTGGGGGGGACAGGTTGTATCCACCCCAAAAAACCCTCCAGCAACGAGACCATGCAGCCCTGTTCTCTCTAGCTTATCTCCTGCGGTCGCTGTAACCAGTCTCGTATGTGCACTAGCGGGTTTGGGGAGTGATGTCCCAAGGAGATGCCGCTGGGAAAAGCCGAGGAGCCGGTCTGGTCTGTACCATGCTTTGCCTTTGATAACCCCCTGACTCTTGGGTGTGCTTCGTCCTCACCGCGCCTGCTCTCTCCGCTACCCGGCTCCCGGCTGAGAGATGGCCACGCGACCGGCGTGCGCACTCCGGCGTCGGCCTCGCGCGCCAAACATCGCCAGCCTCAGCACCTTCACAGCTTTTCCTCGTCCGTCTGACCTTATCTAGCCAAACAAAGGCCAAAAAATGAGCATTTGAGAGACCAACCAAATTTGGCAGGTATGAAGCTTCTCTTGAACCGAGAAAAAAAAAAAAAAACCAAAAGAAAAACCGAGTTGAGAGTTGAAAGCAGCAGGGAACATGACACTTGGTTGACTTTGCCGTGAACTCTTTCTACCACCATAAAACCATGTGGCGGACTTTGCAACTCTCTAACTGGTCTGTTTTTTTCATTCCTTTTATCTCTCTCCTTTCCTGTGTGTTTTTTTGCATGACCTATAACCAAAACGCTGACTTCTCGCTGTGCGTCCATTTGAACGTATGGCTCTTCTGCTGGCGAGTAGCTAGTGTTCTTCTAGAGGCATGAGCTAACATCAGTGGTAGCTGCCTGACTTCTAGTCTGGTTGTTCTTAGATGCCCTTCGTTATGTTTTTCCTTTTTATACTATTTCCTCTTCCTTTTTCACTTTTTTTCCCTCTCTGCCAGGCACTTTCTGTTGAGCCATCTTCCAAGAGAACTAAAAAAAAAAAATTAAAAGCCCAACAACAGACAACAACACTAAACAAAATAACAAAACCAGGCAAAGGTCACGGCAAGGTCATTTCCAAAATTATGTCACCTTGATATCTGCTTCCAACTCTAGATTAATTCAAGGATCTACCAGTCCTTGGTTAATGTATCCAACCAGTTGTGTGCCACACACACTTGAGAAAGTAAAAAAAAAAAAAAAAAGAAAATTAATGAAAGCATTTTAGAAAATCTGCATGAGCTACACCGACACATAAATCTGATCAAAGGGCAAAAGTAACTCCCCATCCATGCATGGTGCATGATGATGTCTATGAGCTGGCATCCTGTAAATTATATGCTATCCAAAGTCAAAACAGCTCTGTATAGTTAAATGCCCTTAAGTTACATACTGTATGTTCAAATGTTATAGGGATTGTATCTGTGTATGTATACGTTCAGCTGTATGTATACATAAATTTATTATGTATATTGTAGCTTTTCTTTTTTTTTTGTTTTGCTCCTTAATTTAGT